CCCAGAGCAGCTGTGGCTGCCCCTGGATCCCTGGCAGTGCCCAAGGCCAGGTTGGACACTGGGGCTGGAGCAGCCTGGGACAGTGGGAGGTGTCCCTGCCCATGGCAGGGGCTGGAATTGGATGATTTTTTAGATCCCTTCCAACCCCAACTATTCTGAGATTCTCTGATTTTTTTTATGAACAGAGGAGGAGCAGCAGGTGGATCCAGGCAGCCCCATGAGAGCACTGGGGAAAGGGTAACCCCAGCAGGCCTCTTTTTCTTTAAAAATCTCATTTCAGGAATGAGCCTTCCAGCCTCTGTCTGTCATGGCATTTCTCCTCACCACCAAAGCAGGAACTGAGCAGAGTTTGCTCCCAGGGTGGGGCTGGCATCCATCCATGAGGACTCACCCTTGCCCTGCTGCATCTCTCAGAGTTATTTGCTTTAGAGTTACTTCTACTTCATGCTTACTGTGCTCCAATATCAATTAATGAATAACTTCATGAATTTCAATCAACCCATGCTGTGTGCTGGCCCATTTTCTGGCCCATTTTCTGAAGCTGCAGAGCCTTCCTGAGGTTGCACTTCACTGAAATGGAGGCTGCTGACTGCTGGTCACTGACCTAAAACTCATTTTCTGAATCCAGTGGAAGATCTCATACAACAAATAATAATCTCATACAAATAATGATGCACAGGAGCAGGACCACAACAACCATTTCCTATTTATACCCAGATCTGCTGGGGCTGCTGGAGCCCCTGCTTGGTTTTGATTTCAAAGTTGTTTCCTCTTTAGATTAATTCGGTGCTCTACTAGCCCTGCCAGTCCTAGTCTGAGGAAAAATGGCTTCATAATTCATTACACTCTAGAGATTGGAGGGAAAAATACCCATCTCCAGTGGCTTGCTGCACATCACAACATCATAGGAGCAAGTTTCTGAGGTAGTCTCCCCATCAGGAAGGATGCACTAACATCAGCATTTCTTTTACACAGTTTTAAATCTCTTTGTACTGTCAGCTTGGCATCCAGTTAACCATGGATATCTGACAGTCACATGCTTCAAAGCCTGCCTGTTGATTTATCATCTGCCTTGGATGCCTTTTCACAGGGATTACTATAAAAGGATTATAATACTGGGAAAAGCTTCACATAGTTTGTTGGTTTGGTTGGGGAAACAGATGCAGCACAGATCTTTTCATCTGTTCCAGCTCTTCAGCCAGACAGAAAGGGAGCTAGCAACACATGGATGAATCAGAAGGTAAACTGAGGGTGTATCAGCTGGTTTCAGGGTTGAATCCTTCAGTGGTGTTTTGAATTCCGATCTCCAGTCAATGAAAGAAGGATTTCTGCTCTTACAAGCATGTTTCAGTCAGTTCTGCACCCCGTGTGACACCAGTGATGAGAATGATGAGCACACATCTGGCCCTGTGAAACAGGACTCTGATCTCAACACTGACGTGACAGATGGCAGCTCCTCAGACACTGATGCTGTGCAAGTGTGTGATAAACTGAAGGCTTGGTATTAACCAGCCAAAAAAAAAATTCAAGTCTAACTGCATTACAACAAATTGCTGACATTAATGTGGTAGGAGTGCTCCCAAATTGTCCACATGCATCACACACTGGGCTAACAAAAACAGAACAAAAAATCAGGGGGGTACATTTTTCTGGCTCTGAAGGTTATTTCTCCCCCTGCTCTTAGTTTTTAATTTTGATTCTAAATTCACTTCATTTACAGGAAAATACACACCCCATAAACTGTGGATACCCTCAAAATAATTCAGATACACTATTATTTCAAATAACAAACCAGTTCCATCCTGTCAACTTTTCGGACACTCAGCACATTTCCCTACCTATCAATACAGCCAGGAAATTCCCCCTTGTTTCTTCATGGGTTAATCCCACCCATATGCCTTCATTCCTCCCCTTCTCCCACAGACATTTGGGAAAAAACTGCAGACTGCACCTGCCATTTCTCTATCTGTATCATCAATATTTATTTCTCTCTTAATCATGATATGCTAACCAATGGATATCATAACATGACATATCTGCAGCCCATTTCATCAGCAGGGGTAAAATTGTTTGCTTTCATCGATTTATTTTTCTATTTATTGACCTTTTAATTCAATCTTGATCACTTAATTTTTCTTTCCAACAACCCTCTGAGTCGGAGCAGTTCTATATGGGGCAATAAATAGAGCTGCAATTCATCATTCATTTCCTTCTCAGCATAAAACCACAACCACAGCTAAATAATATTTCCAGTTTATAGAGTGTCATTTGGAGTAGTTAAGAAGAAAAATAGATCCTTCCCCATTAAGGGTGCCATGACTCACTCTGGATTGGAAAGGAGTGAGGCTGTGGAAGCTTCCTGGAGCTGTGCTGAAGTCACAGCAGGGATGGATCCAGCCCATTGGAAATGAGCATTCACACCCTCTTATGGAATGGGCTCCTGACTTATCACAGAGATGTTTATGGCATATTAAATCAGCTAATTATGGAGCTCACCTAGGAGATTCTCCAATCCTGCAAGTTGCTCAGTCCTTAGAGCTCCTTCTGGGAAAACAGAGTTCCTTAGAGGTGCTGCTCAGGACCTGGCAGAACTGGCCCTGTGGCCCTTGTTCAGGCACAGCTGTCTGTGGAGCTGCCCTAAAATCTCCAAAATCCCAGGCAGGGCACCCCCCTCACTGCTCTTGGGTTTTGGAAGCAGCACTGTGGGTCAGGGAATGAGGAACTGTTCTCTCAGTGGGATGTTGGTCCCTAAAACCCATTTTTCTGTCAGCTCAGCCCTGGTACTGGGAGCAAGGATCACACTCTCCCATCCCTGACAGGAACTTCATTTGCAATTAAACACAAGCCTGCACCTCTGCTCTCAGTTTGACCTTTTCTCAGTTAATATCATCACAATGAAGACTTTCCAGCACCTCTGACTGATGCTCCTGGCCTCCCCTTCCAGTGGCTGGTAATTTTTCCCTCAGCTCAATAATTTGCTTCGTTACTCATCATTTTTTAAACATCTCGCACACCTTTGATTTTTCCTCCCTTGTTCTTTGCCAAACCTTTTGTTCAGGTTGTGAATTGATCAGTGCAATTACTGGGCAGCATTTATCTTCTGTGGACATTTTTGCATTAGTTTCTAATTCAAAGAGTTTGAATGGCCAAAAGCTGAGCTCAGTGTTTTTCTGTTGTCACCTTTCATGACACACACCAGGGATTTCAGGTTTGTACTCAGTTGGGTCTATGGGTAATAAATCCTGAGGAAGCAAAACCTGAGATATGAAGTCTCCTTCAATCTCTCAAATAATTTAAAATTATAACTTTTTTACATATGGAACAGAAGGGATCAAATTTGAAGTCATTACCCTCAGAGACACAGGAATAGATAAGGTTTTACATCTCCAATCTGCAATTTTTCCATCAGTAGATGGACTTCCTGCTCCTCAGGGAGGCCCTGGATTTTCCTTCCTTCTTCTTGACCTCTAAAGAAGCACTGCAAGGACTTTTGCTCATTTGTCCTGATTATCCAGGGAGAGAGAAGTAATTTGTTGGAGTCCACCCCTTCCTGACCTCCTTCACTGTGGAAAAAAATTCTCAGGATAACTTTTCTTCCTCTTGCTTTTTTTTTTTTTTTTTTTTTTTTTTACCCCCTATTTCTCACTAAAAGGTCCTAGAGAATAAAGATGAAGAGTCTTTGGGAAGGTTTCCAGTACTCAGGCAAGGAAAGCCAACTGAGAATCACAACTTTGTGCCTTTAGAAATGGCAGGAAGGCAGGTGGTTTCTGAACAAATTGTTTGATTCAGCACTAGCCAGCAAACAACTGAATGAGTCAACATCTGATTTCTCCTACTTGACATGAAATATAATGAAAGAACACTACAATGGTTATTAGGCAATGTATTGGCATCAATGGTGATTGAATTTTATTGGAATTTATCCAAGAACACCTTTTGTGAGAAAACCTGCATTATGCAGTTAACAGGGAAGGTTATGAATGTAAAAGGAAAACGCTTTTTGCCTGGGAAATGTTAACTCTGTTTGCATTTCTTGTGATAAAATTAAATAATGGACAAATCTACAATTTAGGGTAAATCTTCAGCAGCCTTTTATCAGCTCCTGCTTACACAAGATGGGGCCATCACAAACTACTGAGAAGCCCTGTTCAAACTGAGAAAGTTTGACTTCACCAAGCCATTTTTAGATTGCTAAATATTCCTCTAACATATGGAAAATCGTTATAAATAATTTTCACCTCTTGGTGAAAATTATAATAATAAATAAAAGGTGAAAATAATTTTCAACTCTTGATTCTCTCTTGGTGTTTTTCAAGAATATGTGTGCAGCTATTGATGCAGGTAGAAGCCACTGTAACAGAGTTTTTATACTGTCTGGGGATAACTGGTTTAAAAATCATAAATATTTCAATTTTATGCTGTGTTCCTGTGCTGGCTTCAAAGTTTCCTTGGCCACTTGAACTCCTAGGCCATCTAACCCAGGATTTCATGTGGAGGCTGCACCTTTCAGTCTCAGTTTGAATCAGGAGAGTGAACCCAGTCTCCTGCTGATCCCTACTCACAACATTATTGTTCTCACAGTGCATGGAGCTGCCTGAGAACACCCAAATTCGATGCCTTTCAGATGTCACTAAATGCCTTAATGCCACTGCAGTGCCCAACCAGTGCCCATGAACCATCACTGAGCACCCAGGCACTGGGAAATGGCCAAATGAATCCCAGAACCACCAAATCCCAGAGTCAGCAAGGCTGGCAGAGACCTTCCAGATCATCCAGTCCCATCATCAACCCAACACCACCATCACCAGCCCTAAACCATGTCCCCAGGTGCCATGTCCAGATGTCAATATCCTGCCCTGAAATGTGTCCTGGGTGCTCAGCAGCCTTTCCTGGCTGTCAGAGCACATGCCCCATGCATGGAAACACAGCCAGTGCCCCAAAATCCTGTTCACAAGCATTCCAAACTCTGTCTGAAAATGTTTTTTGGGGTTATAGATCCACACTGATGCCTCCACTGTTTTGTGCAGACTTTTCAGCTTTGCTTCAACAGTATTTTGTTTGACAAGCAATTCATGTCAGCCATCGTAACTACCAGGCACAAATGCATCAGTGTCATTGCTGTTATTTTTTACTGGTATTACGTGATCATTGTTTTAATTGTTGATTGAGTGCTTCCTAAATTTCACTGTGTGCCAAAAGAAGCTGACACACTCTGCTATGATTTATGTGCAGTGTCATCCCCAAGACAGATTTCTGCACTGTACATGTTGAAGCAGCTCTTCAGAAATAAATGAGTTATCACTGTGTTGAGGAGTGAACTCAGTACCACACCACCGCCACTTTCTCAAGAGAACATTGGCAAAAACCATCCCGGAGGTGCTAAAAGGATTTTATAAAAATATGGCATAAATTAAGATTCACATTGCTCTTGTGCTGGAAGCTAAGAGAGAGCAGCACCAGCCTTCAGAATGAGGCCACTGAGACTGGAGCCAGTGGAGGAACAAACACTGAGCTCTTCATTTTACATTTCATCCACATGGAAAGGGGCAAAGCTCTGGGGCCACTGGGTGTTGGGTGTTTGCTTTCCCTCCTGGCTCTTACTGCTGAGACACCAAAGGTTTCAACAGCAGTGTAAAGTTCCTGATTGAAGCAACCTCTGGAATATTGGAAAATACAGTCAAGAAGGGATCCAGAGAAAAGGCACATTTATTTACTCTCTCTACACTGGATTTTTTTTTTTTTTGCAAAGGAACCTCAAACCTCACCTTCACAGTGTTTCCATATTACATCTACATCTCCTTCAAGTCTGAAGGAAAATGCAGCCAAGAATGCTGAAGGGATGTTCCACTTAGCCAATTACAGCTGTAATTGACTTCTAATTGTCTACCTCCACCCAAAATCTGTTTGGCTCTAGCACAATACACACTCTGTGGAAAAGAAAAAAAAAGGTGGAGATGTTCGAGATTGCAGCGTTACCTTTGGTACAGAACTGATGTGCAAATTGTAATCAGGGCCGGGAAATTTTGAAGACACTGGGGGAAGAGAGGCAAGCCCTGCAACGAGAACATAAAAGATTATTGTTACTCAGTGTCCACCACGGCATGAACCACAATGGCTAAAGAGGATTTAATATTGTGAGCAAAACCAAGGCTTATTTTTTGGGCTAACATGGCCAGATTTTTGTATTGAGGGAGTCTGCAGGGGTGGCTTCTGTGAGGTGACACCAGGAGCTGCTCCAGTGTCACACAGAGCCAGCTCCAGGTGGCTCCAGCAGGGTCCTGCCTGAGCTGTGACATTGGTGGCACCTCTGCCATAACATATTTAATTAAAGGTAAAAAAGCCCAGCACAGCAGGACCTGGGAAAGAGGAGTGAGAATGTGGGAGAGAAACAGTCCTGGAGACACCCAGGTCAGTGCTGACCAGCCAAGGTCAACCCAGAACACAAAAAAAAATATGAAAAAAGCCAATCTAGGACTCTGTGGAATCAATTTGTCCATATTCACTTAACTTTCCTTTTTACTTTTTATAACTGCTGCATTTTCTAATACTACACACTCTCAAAATCTGTCCCCTGTACTTATTTCTTCACCACTTATTTGTCAGAGAGGACAGGATGTGTGCCTGGATTATAGACTCTGCACAATAATTTTATGCCATTAAGTGTTTGATTAAATGTTTTGAGAATAATGTGGTTATAAATGCAAGTGGTGGGTAATGATTTGGTGGAGATTTACATTTGCTTTTGAAGAGTCTTTGTGCTTAAGGACAGGAATTAATAATGCCTTAGTCATTTATCAGTAAAATAATAGTTCACTAACTGCCTTTATTCTTTCCTTTTTTTTTTTTTTTTTTTTTTTTTTTTGGTCGGGCTGGTAGTGGTGGATTTTCTTTTGTTTTCATAGTCCAACTGCAAAATATTGCCTAAATTGCTGCTTGTATGAAAATCCAGTCCTCCCACATCTGGCCCCAGAAGACAATTGGAAGAGCAAAGGCATTTAAAAACTCAAACCCAGAACTAAATCTAAATTCAATTTCAAAGAACTTGGATGTTTCCTCAATATTGTTGGAGAATCTTCCTATAAAAAATCAAAAACGTTCTGGAGAGGTCCAGGAAAAGCACAAGTCCTTCATGAAATATTATGAAGCCTCATAATTATAAATGTTTAACCTGTTGTCCAGAAGGCCCATGTTGAGAAGCAATTTGACAACCTGTGATTCAGCAGCTTAGACTCACTTGGGCTTTGTTCTGTGTTCCACAATTCCTCTGGAATGTATCCCAGATTTTCACTGCCACTCCTGTGACTGTTCTCCAAATCACCATCGTTTTTCTTCTCAGCTGAAACTTTTCTAGAAAACAAAAAGGTATCGTTAGAAATTCTTCATGGTGAGAGAACAATTGGGTAGCAGACTAGAGAGAAAAAACTAAATGTCTCACGTCCCAAAACATAGGTGTAAAACACATTCCAAGCAATTAGCTGCTACAAATCTTGTTCCATGGAAGTATTGCCCATGGGATTTTGTTTGAAAAGTTTCCACCAGCAGCAATGTCAAAAACCATGAAAATAAGGCAACCCTCAAAAAGTGAGGACCCTGTGCCAGATCATAGGTTTTGTAGAAAATGAATTTTGATCTCTGATTCTGAATTGCAGGATATTTAGTGCCCAGTAATGGAACACCAGGCAGGTCACCTATGACAGCTCATCATTTTGGTGCCCAGCTGCAAAACCAAAGCGTGTCCTCACATTCCCACAGTCAGGCATTCATCTGTACACTCTGAAGTTAATCTTTCACTCTGAAGTTTACTTTCCACATCAGAGAAATTCCTTGGTTAAAGTTACTCATCTCCGAATTTGCACAACGGTGCCCTCTCAGCTGCACAGGGGGACAATGCTGCTTTTGTATCCAAAATTCTGATGCTGAGGAGATGCTACTATTGATCTATTGCTACCGTGGACTCCTCTCCAGGCTGGTCCCAGGTCCACCTCTGCCTAGGTCTGAAGTGTGGCAAACACAAATCAATGATGGAAAACCAGGAATTTTTATTGGGAAGGGGTGGCAGTGACGTTGGTGGAAACTGCTGTGTGTCCTTGTAAGAAAATAATTGTAGTGAGGGTTGGGCTCTGCTCCAGGGAACAGGGACAGGAGGAGAGGGAACGGCCTCAGGCTGGGCCAGGGCAGGCTCAGCTTGGACAGCAGCAGGAATTTCCCCATGGAAAGGGAGCTCAGGCCTTGGCAGGGGCTGCCCAGGGAGGTTTGGAGTGCCCATCCCTGGAGGTGTCACCTGGAGGTGGCACTCAGTGCTCTGGGCTGGGGACAAGGTGGCCATGGGGCACAGTTGGGACCTGATGAGCTTGAAACTCTTTTCCAACCTCAATGATCCCATGATTCTGTAATTCCACTTCTTTTATATTTAGTAGGAGTCACTTTGCAGGCCCACAGAGCTTCAGAGGGGTGTTAATGATGCACACACACATGGGGTGAGTCAGCTGTCAGCCGTGGGGCTTTTTTAAGAGATAAACAGGTTGGATACCACCAAGAGCCCTGCCATGGTTACTAGAAGACAAAAGCAATTGTTTAGGGCTGCCACCCCCAGATGTTACATGACACTGTGCTGTCTCTTTTATCTGAGCCTTAGATCCCAACAAACTCAATGGAGCAGCCAAATAAAAAGCAGCTAGGAAAAAAAAAAATGTGTGGGAGGTACAGGAAGATAGCCAGCCAAGTTAAAAATAAAGTAGTGTGTGTTTGGTCTCACTATTTCTTTGCTACCACAGCAATGCAGCTTCCAAAATCTGGACAAGCATCATTCTTTGTACTGCAGGGAAGTTCCCCCCAAGGAAAAAAAACAGTGAGCCTACAAAATCTGTGATTGTTAATAATCCTTGTGATTTCAGGGTCATTATTTTTCAAACCTTGAAGATCTGTCAACACTGAATCTCCAAGTCCACAGCCTGAACTCATCCCGGTTTTCTTAATGTTAAAGTATAAGCAAAGTGAGACCACAGTGAGAAAACTCATCTTTAAAGTTAATAGAGAAATAGTAACTTGGTAGTACTGAGAGCTAAAAACACACTTCTGCCATGAAGGTAGAATTGTTTCTGCCCAGACCAGATGCAAAAACATAGAGGGAAAGGAAAGTTATGCCCTATGCCCTATTCTGGACCTGTTCGTGTCTGGAAGAAGAGCTGCAGATCCACAACAGCAAGGCAGGGTCTGGGAAGGACAGACCCCACTCCTGGGCAGGTCCTTTCCTGTGTGTTCAACTGGTTTTGCCTTAGTAGGGCTGATCCTTATGGAAGATTTTGGGATTCTGAATCAAGTGAGAATCCAAGCAATCCCTGCAGTTTTACTCCTGCCCTATTTATATAGCTGCACTTGGCAAAAATGATGAATTTAGCCCCACAAAGTAGGAGATCACATGGAAGTTTACATGTATGGCATCATTGCCTTGGGAGAAAACAGAGGGTATCGAATTTCCTTAGTTAGTTTCCTATCAATAAAGTGCACTACAAATGGAAATCTGTCAACTGACTTCCACAAACTTTCCCCACAAGAGGCTGCTAATGAAACTGGGAATCACTGACGTGCCAGGAAACGTTCTGCAAACTCATTAAGGGACAGGGAGTTAAAAACCCCACAAGCATAGGCAGAGAATGAATTTACAATACTGCCTAAATATAAATAATAATATGAATAACCCCACTGCCATGGCTGTCAAAACCACACTATGCTGATAAAAAGGATCTCAATTCTGAGAGCCACCAGTTATTGATTTCTAAAGTTTTCCAGCTCAGTGCAATAATGGACAAACAGCTTTGTACTGAAACGAATCTGACAATCACTGAATGAGGTGCTGATACCAATCCACGGGGCAGATTCTATTCTATTCTATTCTATTCTATTCTATTCTATTCTATTCTATTCTATTCTATTCTATTCTATTCTATTCTAATTATCTATAATCATATATAATTATATAATATGTGATATATTTTATATTATATATATTTATATATTTATATATTTTATACTTTTATGTTATATTTATGTTATCTATATTATATATATTTATGTACAATATTTTTAATAGAATTATAGAATAGCTTGGGTTGGAAGAAACCTTAAAGATCATCTCTCTCCAAGCCCCTGCCGCGGGCATCTTCCCCTATCCCAGGTGGCTCCAGTGAACTCTCCCAGGGATGGAGAGTCACATCATCCCTGTACCAGTGCCTCACCACCCTTTCCGTCAATAATTTCTTCGTAATATCTAATCTAAACCTGCCCTCTGAATCCGTTTTTTTACCAGTTTATCCAGCCCTAAAGAGCCGGGGAGGGGGAGTGGAACTCGCCCGCCGCGCTCCGGGGCTCGCCCGCTCGCAGCGCCGGTGTGGCAGTGACATCCTGTGGCGGCGGTGGCAATCGCCCGGCGGGCTCTGCTCGCCATCCATCCATCCATCCATCCATCCATCCATCCATCCATCCATCCATCCATCCACTCATCCCTCCACTCATCCCTCCCTCCATCCATCCATCCCCTGCCTCCCCCGGGACACCTGCGGGCAAAGCAGGCTCCGAGAGATTCGGGGTTTTGTGGGATTTTGATGGGGTTTTCATGAGGTTTCCCTGGGGTTTTCGCCCCTGTGGGATCAGAGTTTTCACCGCCTGCTGCGAGCCCTGGTGCCCGCATTGCACTAGGGATGCCATGGACAAATGGAGATAATTTTTATTTTTAATCTAAGCACATACATTTAGGTCTCAGAGGATTGGGTTAGCCTCTCCGTGTTTCTTATGAAGAAATCCCAAAATGATTGGCTACCTTGACAAGGTTAGCTAGAGAGTGCCTTCTTTATGGGACATTCTGTATGCCTAGTCCTGAAAGAAGTAGGGCTGAGTTTACTTTACAATTAAATTAGCAATATTTTTAATGATAGGTCTAGTATTTCAGTAAAGTTTAGAACTCCATAAGTTAATTATGCTTGTCTTGCTGCTCTTGGCATAAGCAATCTAATACTAATGTCTCTGAATTAGACTGAGCTATATGGAGACCTATTTGGAAGTCTTTAAATCTTCATCCCTAAGGCCAATGCCCTTCCCTGGATGCTGTCCCCCATCCCTCTGCTGTCCCCACAAGCTCACACAGCCAGCACAAGGACACTGGCACGTCCCTCTTGCCACCCTGCAGCAGCTTCAAAGAGTCCAAAAAGTTATCCCACATCATCTGACTTACCTTATTTCATTTTGATAAGTAGATTCTGAGAATGAAGGGGGAAAAAAAAAAAAAAAGGTGTTTAAAATGCAAGAAATTAACATTTAAAACTTCTGTAAGTTCTCTAAGAGCATGCCCTGAGTTCCAGCTACTATGGGAGCCACCCATATCTCTCCACCCTGTTTGCAAAATTGGGCAGCCAATAGAGCATCTAACACAGAAACTGGAATTAGGCACACAGCACTGAAAATATTCTTCAAATATTTTGTCTTCAAATTTCTGTCTCTAAAAATGAATGTACTCCCAAAAAGCATGACCCCCTGGGAGTTAATGTGAAGGGCTGACACTGACTGGAATAAATTTATGAGAGAAACATGATGGTGAAATTAAGGGGCATTTTAAACAGGTCATAGTTAAGAGCAGGATCTGCCTGCTCAGTCTTCTGCTTACAGCTCTTTGTGCAGCATCAGAGCTGACACAAGTAGATTTATATCTAATTAAAACCACTTTTTAATGTAGAGAGCAGCTGTGAAGGTCCACTCACCTCTCCTCTTTAGGCAGCAGCGCACAACAACCACAATAATAACGATCAGGAGAACAATACCAAGAAATGAAAGCACAACTGCAAGTACAATAACCCACGTGCTCCTGTTGTCTTCACTGTAATCATTTTCTGTTAAATTAAATGGAGAAACATTGGAGTATCAGAGGCTCAAGACATTCCTTTCCAGCATATTTACTTTTCTGTGAGATGCTATTAAGTGCATGGTGAATATTTAACAAGGAGTCTGCATTTTCCAAATGACAAACTCTGTATTCATGGATGGCACCCAAGAATTTAAAATATTCCCGAATTTAAATCCTTTATTACAGTTGTAACTTCTCCTACTACTAGTTCTCTTCTGAAAAGCACCGGGTTGCAACCTTCAAACTTTATTTCAGAATTATGCTAAGGCCTCCCAGAGTCCTTTGGAGACATTTGGAGAGAGGTGTTAAGATTCAGTTTAGGAGTCCATACTGCAGATATTGAGTGTCTTGCCTGGCTGCTCTTGTCAGTGGAGAGAAAATAGGTATTTTGGGTTACAATTAATTTGATCAAATGTGGTTTTGTCCCTTTTAATAAGCTGAACTGCTTTGAAAACAATGTCCATTTCTCCCCACAAACCACAGCAATAGTTGTAGGTGATTAATAGAGTTGGTGACCTCTAGCCCGGAAAAATGATTTTCTAATCAGTTCTGTCTTGGGGTTTCTCTCAATGACTTCAACAAGTTTTGGGATGTGCTTGGTGGGACACCTGTTCCCCACCTAAAGAGCACCAAAGAGCAAAATCAGTGAAGAACACACAGCTACTGACCCATCTTCTCTGCAGCATTCTCACATTCAACTTATTCCTTCATCTTTGCTGTAATCTACAGGGTTAAATGAGGGCATTTAAGGATGATTCAATTTCTTGCTGAAATCGGTTGCTATGACCAAACAGGGCTCCCACGTGCACAGAATTGTAAAAATATCTTGCATTTAGAATTACAGAATCGTGGGATGATTTGGGTTGGAAGGGACCTCAAGGATCATTCAGTTCCACCCCCTGCCATGGGCAGGGACACCTTCCACCATCCCAGGCTGATCCAAGCCCTGGCCTTGGACACTTCCAGGGATGGGGAATATTTCTCAGGCAGCTGGATGTACAAGGAAGATGCCAGTTCTGCTTGTCACATCATCCTGCCCCTTGGTTTGACCAAATATTCCAGAAAGCACCTCCAATTCGGCCTCCCTTTGGAAAGCAGCCCCAAAACACTTTTGGCAGTTGTTTAGAAACAATCTTCCAATCCAAATTACAGGTGTGAGACACATCCAGATTTGGCACAGTTCTCTCCCATGGATTTATGATTTTTTCCTCATTCAAGGTCCCAGTTAACAATTCCATGGCCACACTTGGCTGACAGCCTCTGGGAAAGGAACCACAGGAATGAGGGTGAACTGGGAGCTACTCAAGGTTGGGGAAATTCCCCTGCTGTGGGAACCAGGTTTACCTGTGGCAGGGAATAAACTAAACCCTTTCTATCTACAAATTTTCCTGGGTTTTGGGTTTGGAGGTTTCAGACTGAAAAGACACAGTACCAGAGCCTCCTACAAAGCTTGAACCTCTGCCAGGAATCTGCATTATCCAAAGCTTAGGTCATTATCATTAAGCAATTTGTTCCAGTCTTCTCTAATCCTAATGCTCAATCAGCATGTTTGGAATTTCTTCTATTAAGGAAAAAAAAAAAAAAAAACAAGCACTCAGTAGCCTGAAAATTAGCAGTAAATCCTGCAGGCTGCCATCAGCTGATGATAAACTTGTTCATAGTATTTTTATCTAGAAGTACTGCAACAGAAATGTATATTTTAGTACATTTTGTTCTACAGAGATGCCATGGGGATTTCAAGATGACTAAAACACGAATGCCATCTATTTAGCCAGAGGGGAAAGCTTAACCCTAGTGAGAAGGGAGGAACTAAACACACCTGCACCATCCCAGTCCTGCAGGCTGGCTGCCACACCAAGGTATTTCACTCCCTGTCAGGGTCAGGTTATGTGCCAAGAGATTTATGGACAGGGTACAACACAAACACTCCCAGAGCTTCAGCATTTTTGTGTCTCTGCAGTTTTGGAGGATGCAGAAATAAGCTGGTATGAATGAGGAGCTGCCAGGTGAACACACAAGCAGGGCTGCAAGGGAGGGGCACGAAGATGTGAAGGTGTTAAATCCCTTTGAGTCCATCAGGAAATCCAAACCAAGTTCCATGAGGTGTTTAGTGTGGGCAGAGCTACTTCCCCATTCCACAGGGCCCATCCTCTGCTGCCATCCCGACCTCTGGCTCCTCCCAAAGCTGCCCAAAATTTGACTTTGACAAAGTGTCTGCAGAAAAGGGGATTTTCCCAGGCAGGTGCTGGTGACCAGTGAGGAATGAGAGACTGGAAAAACCTGCACTTGGCTTCTTGGACACTTTGGAGATTTCTGGCTGAGTTCAAAAGCAAAGGATGTCCAGGCTCATGGGAGACTCTCAGTCCTCAACTTTTGCAGGTCAAAAGCCTCAGAAATTCATCACCAAAGCCAAAGACAGCTTGGACCCAGCTAAGGAACTCCACCATGGATCCCATTCCACGTAACAGATCTGTTAATGCATCTCCTGGGATAACTCTGTAGGAGCTCCCAAATGTCAGGCTCAGCCAAACACCACTGTAGGAAGAGTGAATGACACAAAAATGCATCACTTCGTATGGAAAGACTGACCCAGAGGTGCAGGAAGGTGGGACATTCCCTCTGGGAATGGTGGCTGGAGAGGGCTCAGATTTTCAGTACTCCTTGTATTGCTCAAGAGGAACGAGGAGGAATTTGATTTCCCCAGCTTTTAAGTAAAGGGGGAAATTGATATTTCAGTAGTTTTGGGAAGGATTTCTTCCATGTTTGAAGCTGGTTGTGTTCTTTCCCAACAGCCAGCTAAGGCTGAGCCTGTATATGAAAACTAGGACAAGCTCTTAGATTTTGGATGTGATATATACATTATATACCTTCCTGTGTCATAAATGCCATGCTTTTATTTCATTCTGATCATTTGAAGACTTCGGATTCTCCTATCCTGTCAAATTTTGAGTGCCTGCTGCTGCTGCACAATGGTATTTCCAAAGAGAAATGAATGATGGTCCTATATAATCACTAATTATACACTAATAGTGCTTCATGACATCTGTTTTTCTCCTCTTCTGATTTGCAGGGAGTAGCTATGGAAACATCACAAATGAGTGGGCAGAGGAATTTATTAATTTCCTCAGGATACTCCTATTTTGCTTAGTCAATAATTAAGATCAATGTGACTACAAAAGGCCATGTTAGGGATGGTAAAATGACCTTCTCCAACTGCATTACCAAGAAAGCACTCCTGAAAAAGGCCTGCTAATAATGATTCATACTGAAAACAAAGGGCACAGCTACTCAATCTTCTCAGTTGTTTATGTGTCAAAATGTCTGTACCAAACCCCTCATTGATATCCTGTGAGGATGTTCTATATGTGCCTCATTCACCCATTGCAGAAGAAGAATCAGTTCATCAAGAGAAGCTGTCAGCATGATTACAACCTTAGCAAAAATATTTAGAGTTATCAAAGGCCTTGCTAACTGCTCTGGAGAGATTTGCACAACATCCAGGCTTGGATTAAAGCAACTTTGAATTTCTTTAAGTAAAAGCCAGTACAAAGCAACCTAATGCACTGCCCCAAAAATTCCTTGTATATTAGTACAGAATTTATTCTGGGTTGTGTGCAGAAACTGGAAGGGTTTTTTTCCAAATCAGGGGTAAAACTGGTATTGGATATGATGGAGAACAATTTCATATTAGGGTTTGGCTTTGTAAGAAATTAAGTTAATATGGCAGGCATGCTCTGATCAAGGATATTTAAGATCTAAATTCCTTGGGTGTTTTCTTGGTCAAGGAGCAAAGGCTGGTTTTCCCACCAGTGAATCCACAGGAGTCAGAGGCAGATATTTGTCAGAGGCTTTGTCTTGCTCAGTCCTACCTTGTGCTTCATGGTTCACTAGATTTGTAAAAGTACATTTAACCCTACCTATAGATCATGCTGGGACTCCTGGCTCCGAATTCCACACCCCAGAGGATTTCATTTGCAAATAAACGACTTTTTTTTTACAGCAAAACGAACCAGAACAAAACGCACAGCTCTGAGTACAGGCGGTACAGCAGGGGAAAAGCACAACAAACATTCACTTACCCGTGGCAGAGTTGTCAAAAATAAGAGTTACAGTCGCATTCTGAGGGCTGGGGAGTGCTTCTATGTCAGCTAAACAAGTCAAAACCTCCGTGTCCCTCGGAGTCAGAGTTAAGGTGCTCAGGGCATTGTGGAGGCCATGAGATCCTGGACTTTGCTGGGTATCATAGCTCGACTTATCAACCAAAGAGTCATTTCTCATCCAGGTAATGTCTGGAGCTGGAGCCCATCCTAAGGCTTCACAAACAATCTCAATTGTTTGGTTCTCTTTTACTGTTAAGGTGCTATTTTTGATGAGTAAAGATCCATTAACTGTGGGAGGGAAAAGATGTTTTTGTTCCTTCAGAATGTTTCGCTGCATTGCTTCCCTGCTGGTAGTTTTAAATCTTATCTCGCTACCCAGAAATAGCAATGCCTTGAGATATGAAGTGGAAAACAATTATTAATACAGATATAGCATATGCATGATGGAAACATGCAGATATTTCAACTACACGGGCCCATTACCCAAAGTGTCTAAAGCACGAGTCTCAGCTTTCAGTGCCTTTCCAATAAAAAGCAAGGAAATTGCACTTTTTAGCCATCTTGACACATATCCAGCTGAAGGACGACGTAATGAAATAACAGTGTTTCTCTCTAGATTTTAAATATGCTCAGGTCACATAAGAAGAGGTTTACAGGTAGGTGATGAGATGTCACCACTGCACCAAGCCCCTCCTTGACTGATGGATGGTGCCTGGTGGTGAGATCCTGCTTTCCTGGTAAGGAATAAGAGATGGAGCAGGGAAAAACATGGGGAGTTATAACCTTTGTTATTGGCACTCTGCATGTGACTCTAAACCTGCTTGGGCAGTAAAATTAGGACGAGGAGGCAAAGGATGGTAAATGAGAGCATGTGCTCCTTCCTTAATATAACTTGAGCAATTCCTCAGAGGATTCCCTGAGGCACAGCACAATAAAACAGCTTTTTGCTGGTGGCTTTACACACCTTGCACAGAGAGAAAGGCAAAGTTGTTGTCGCTGGGCTGCTGGATGCTGCACTCAATCCTGCCAGAGTCACTCAGCTGCGTGTCCTGGATGATCAGCTCCGAGGTGAACTGGTCCCCACTGGTGTAGTTGTGGGAGGTGAAGCGTTCTGTGGTCTCCACAGAGCCCTGGGAGCTGAGGACAGTGAGCACAGGACTGCCCTTGGAGAGCCAGATGAGGACTTTCCATCCTGCAGACACGGTGCAGTTGAACCGAGCCTCTGAGCCAGCCAGGACCGTGGCATTCTCAGGGCCTTTTGTGATGGAGTAACAAAAGCCCAGGCCTGTGAGGGAACCAAAATCGGTCCATAAATACAAATACACTGAAAGTTACACGTAGACACTGAAAGTGGTTAGTTTTTTTTTTCTTCTGCCTTCACTCAGAGTCAGGATTGATGCTCAAGAGATGGATTTCTTGTTTGGACTTGGTTGTTTATTAAATTTTATCTAAAATACAGAGGGCTCTTCAGCATTCCTAGCTATCAAGCCAAAAGTGAGAAAATGGACGTGAATCTAGCTAGTTACAAGGTCTTTTAAAGCCTAATTATCAAATTAAGAGCTAATATCTATATTATTTATACTTTTGACCCAATAACCAAACACCTGTGACCCGCACTGTGGTACCTTCAATCCAACCAGAAACTGCTGCCTGAAACCAAGAAGAAGGAACAAGAAGGAAGAAGAAAGAGACAACACCCAAGAGCCTCCATCTTGTCCCATACCTATTACTATATTCTAAAACCCCAAATTCCAAACCCTTCACCAAGTGAAATTACACACTTCTAACTACACACCCGTGATTTTAACTCCATCACTCAATTTTGGAAGCCTTCTCCAAGGCCTCAGGTCTAAAGCAGTGTTCTCCTGGGGGTCAGTGCCAGAAAATACAGAAAGCTCAAAACTCCCAGGCTTCAGGGTTCCACCAATACAGCACCAACAGAGGTGGTTGGACACTGTAAAACATCTTAACCAGCTCAGAGATGGAGGTGTGCAATCTAATCTTTCAGATCCTGCTTAGATTAAGTAGTTTTCTTTAAAAATGTCTTAAATTATTTTGTCTCCCCTTCTCTCACTCCAAAATCACCTGTTTCTCTTCAGGAATTCACTGACTACCATTTTGTTGACAAAAAATATCCACTTTTAAATAGGAAAATACATGAGCTGCCTAGGCTTTAAATAATTAAAGGAGTGTGTAACCAGTCTCTTTTTCATACCTTGGATTGCCACTGATTTTTGGCAGCTCCATCATTTATTCTTTCAGTGGTCTTTCCCCTGTTCCTCAATCATTCATCACATACATTTTGATGTATTTCTTCTAAAGTTTTTCTCAGGCTTTCTGTCAACCAGAGGTGCTGTAACTCGTTAGTTTTAACTCCTTGAAAGGTAGTGTGAATTTTGGCTGTTATTTTTCAGAGCTGAAAGCTCCTAACAAAGTCATTTTCTTTTCCTTTCCTCCTCATAGACCCAGGGCCTCTTATTGCCAACCCCACCAACTGCACAGGGTCTCATCCAGGAATATTTTGAGTCCAAGGATGGATATTTAGCTCCCTGCAGAGCTCACCAGTCCTCACCAGGGGAACATTCCTGCTAAGGGAGCACCAGGACTGCCAGTGGTGCCCCAATGGTTCCAGCTGAGCTCTGCACCATGACAGCAATTAGACACTGCAGTCCATGGCAGCCTAATTAAAACCCTGTGCCCACAAATTTGGCCTGAGAATAATTATTCAATTATATTCCAGGAGAAAGGAGGTCTGAAATGGTCATCACCCCCTTGCTAAGAGCATTCAGGACAATGAAGTTTTGTTCACACCAAGTTTTTTTAGATAGTTTATTCATTAAAGGATTAGCTATAAATTATTGAGAAAATAACATTTTTCTTTCAGTGAGCAGCTGATGTGAGAGAAGGACACGCTGTGTTTTTCACACAGCAGGGGTGTTTGGTGGTTGTATAAATGGAACCAGAGCCCAGTCTCAGTGGTGACATTGCAGCCAGTGCCTCAGTGAGCTGCACCCAGGACACAGGGTCTGGAATCTCACTGCTCCATTGCCCAGACCCTTTTGCAGTTCCCAGCTCACATTTAACCACTGTATATCCAACCAAGTTGGTGCCAGGAATTGTTCTTTAATATAAATAGCTCCTCTCTTTCCTCCCACCCACTGCAAGCATTTACAGACTTCTTTGTTTTGCAGGATTGTGCAAACCTCGCTCTCCCTGGTTCTGTGTGTGGCTGACTCTGAGTTCTGTCATGTTTACAAAAACCTTCACAAAAATTTTCCACCTTCCTGGGTTATGTTACCTCTGCCATGCACCTCAGTCTGCAAAGTATATCTGTGTGTGAGCAACAAAACATTAAATGAAAAGCAAACTTTACCTACTCTGATAATTAATAAAGCCAGATAAGATTAAGTAAATCACATTTCTGTTCAAATTAAAATTTACCTGCTCTGCCCCTCTTAATGCAAACTGTTCTCTGTGCACTTGGAATTTATTTCCATGCCTGTGCAAACACTTTACATTTTCAAGGAGCTGTGACCTGCCAGGGCTCTGAATAAATGATGCAACTTTCAGGACAATGCTTGCTGTTAATTAATCTTTGAAATTTATCCCTAAACATGAATAATCAGTGATAATTTGCTCTAAAAATAACTGGCTATGTTGCTTTCGCTTTCTTCAGACATTCAGGGCAGTATAGGCAGGTAGGTATGAGTTAATCATTCATCTATGAGAATTATTTGTTATCTGTCCATAGGTAAGGGAGGATCTACATCTTCTTCCACCAACCATGGCTGCTGGAGCAATAAATGATCTCTCCCTGATTGCTGCCCCATGGGGAACAGGTCCCTGAGCCCTGCATGGGGATGCTTTGGGAAGCAGAAGAACTGAGGAGTGGGACAAAACCTCTCCTCCATTCAGATCCCAGCCCCAGCACAACCAACAAAGGAATTTCATCAGCTTTCTCCACCTGCTGCCTGAACGGCTTTGGTGATTTTGCCTTTGCCTCTTTATCTTCTTGCTTCTATTGTTTGTTCTGCACGTGGAGTCCTGAACCAACAGCACTTTCCATTGTCCAGCCCGTGCACAAACACGGATAAAGTCACCTATGTGAGCTCACAGAGGACATTCATGGCACAAATGAGATCCAAACCCAGCTTCCAATGCCTTAAGACCCTTTTGCTGGACCTTGCCTCATGCACTGGGGGTGGGAAATGTTAGTGCTGGTTTCATTTGCATCCTGCTTCAAAAATACCTTGCAGATGGTTGCTTTTAAACAAATTGAGGCCTTGGGCTAGATTTTCATTGCACTTTACAGGAATTACATGTTCAGCTCTTAACAGCTGTTTCAACATCTGCTTCCCCACACAGCAGCAGGGAGACATCCCACCCAGGCAAACACCATCCTTGCAGCAGGGAAATGCTGGGCTGGCTCCCTGATCACCCCTTGGCTCCTGAAAAACACCCCTGAGTGAGGACACTTCCTCTGAGGCACGTCATTAAAGGTTTACAGAGCAGTCACCAGGGGTGAAAATTTGCTTCAATTAAGTGTTTATGGTGTGCCAGGTGCTCAGTCCCTCCCAGCAGCAGAGCACAAACCAACTCCTTCATGAGCTGGTGTTTTCCCTCCTCTGCCACACAAATTCACTGTCACACCACTGCAGGTTGTGAAGAAATGAAAATGCATCTTGTGCAGGGTGATGGCTGCACTGAGGGAACCTCATTTGCCAAAGAAACACCCTTGTCCTTCGTCAGCAATGTCCTTTCTTCCACACTTGAATAAACTCCAAAGAATCACTCTTCTATGCTGGAGTTTTCAACAACAAGGGCATTGAGACATGGCTACCTTGTCCTCCTTGCCTCCTGTCCTCTGCTGGCTCTGTCTGTGCTCTTTTGTAAGTGACCTATTTGGATGCAGCACAGGGAAGGACAGGATGGGCTTATCCTTTTCCCATAATGATTCCTCTTTTTTTTTTTTTTTTCCCAGCCTCATTACCGTATTTCAAAATAATCTCCCCCTCTATACCCATATCGCCCTTCCACAAACACTGCTTTTCATCTTTCAGTTTTTGTATCTAATATCTGTCTTCCTCCCTTCCCTCTTTGCTCTTTCTGTTTGAATTTCTACATTTTTTCCTCCCAGTCTCTTTGAAACTCCTTTTTCTCTTCAGGTTTTCTTCAGTCTCCTGCTCACCCCACTTTGCCTTCTACCTCCCCTTCCTCAGCACTGGCCCACTGCTCCAGCCACAGCTCTGCTATGAACTGTTAAATACACAACAATTAATTAATTAATTAATTAATAGACAGCTCAAGTTTGTTTCAAAACCCAACAGCCCTGCAGCTGAGCTTTTTGAAAACCAAAGTAGGTTAGAGCTTGTCAAAGCTTGCAGCGAGGGACTGGCTTGTTCATTTATGTTAACAAGAATTTTTAAATGCTTACAGGATGTTTCTGTCAAGTAATACCAGACTCCTGATGCTCAGCAACACTTATTTCCTCCCACCTGCACACAAACCTCTCCACAGCCCCCAGGCTGTGTCTTCCTCTCACTCACTGTTTGACAGCAGTCCCTGGCAGAACTTCCCAGTGCCCAAAAATAAAAGATCCAAGGACTTCCCGAGCCAAAAATTGCTTCTGCACCTATGGATCTACCCCTTATGATATTTGTTTCTAGGTTTTTTCAGCCTATTTATAATTTGATATCCCCCCATATCCAGTGGCTGTGAGCTTTACTCTTTAATTACATGCTCTGAGAAAAGAACAGGCTTGGGTTAACCTTAAATATTCTGATACTTTTAGTGGTTGCCAGGAATACTTTTTGTTGTGAGAAATTGTGAATAATCATTTCACCATCCACTTCCATATAACTAATTATTTTAATACATTTTTAGTATTTATTATTTTTCACAATCAGGAAAAAGATATCCCAGGCTAGTGAAGCCTCCTCATCCTTCCCTCCTAGACAAGAGGAGCTTTGGATGCCCAATCCTGGAAATGTTCAGGGATGGATTGTGGACACTGGTCTAGTGAAAGGTGTCCCTGCCCACAGCAGGGAGGCTGGAACTGGAAGATTTTTAAGGTCCTTTTTAATCCAAAGCCTCCTATGATTTTTTGATTCTCTGCCTTTGAACAGCTCCATCACACTTTGTAGCTTTCTCAAACCTAACCTGTCCTGCTGGTCAAAGAAGGGTTAACAAAGCAGCCAATATCTGAGATGAAACCTTTCTGTGGATTTACAGCATGCCAGGGTTCATTTTATCTGCCTTGCTGGAGACATCAAATGGTGACATTTCCTCTCTTTTTCAGCAATTTACTCACTTTCCAAGACATCTATTCTTTTCCCTACTAGACACTGCATTTAAGAGATGCTTTGCATTGAATGCTTCCTCAGCCTTTATTACTTACTCATCTGGAATCACGACATTTTCTGGCAAATCTTCTTAGTCTCTTTTAGGATTTGGCTGCCCTAAGTAATTCTGCACTGCTTGCAAAGTCTGCCACCTCACAGTTCCCTCCTCTTCACCAGGTTGCTTAAGAGCTTGCTGAATACCACCCATCCCTGTGCAGCTCCACTGCTCAGAAAATTCAGCATTTATTCCTGCACTGTTTCCTTTCACTATTAATCCATGACAATTCCTTTCTCCTCATCCCACTGCAGCTCCTTCCTGTCAGAACTTGCTAAAACTCCAGCTGGACTACGATTAAGAAAATCAGCCTTGTCTCCATTACCCAAGTAGTCACTTAATATTTACTTTTCCTCTAAAGCTTTGCCACCAAGACACTTTTAATCTGAATTGACTTTGAGACTCAGGCATGTGAAGTGGCAATTGGTGGCAAACCAGCAACGTGATAATTTACATTTACTTCTGGAAGTACAAACCAGCTGCTGATAGTGAGTTTTCTACAGATGCACCCTCAAAAGCAATCCCAGACAGGAGGAAGAGAAAAAACAAGGAGAGGGAGAAAGTGAAAGAGGGCAGCCTTCCCATCTCCTCCCCACCCCACACACTGCTCAGTCCTTCAGCTGAAGCACACTTTAAATCTTCAGATCATTCCGGCTTGAAATGCAAACATCCCCCTTTCAGAGAGTTCAGATAATCCCACTCTGTGACTGCCTGCTCAGTCTGAACTCATCAGCAAAGGCCATTTACACCACATTTAAATGAGCTCCCTGTTTTGTCCCTGGTGCCTCACCTCCCCATTATGAGCGTGTCCTACCTGGCAGCGAGGCAGTCAGGATGAGGGGAAGTAAAATGGATTTCTGGAGGCTCTCCATTGGAGCATTCTCCCCTGGTCCCTGAGGCAGGAAGCCACCGGTGGTCACTGCATGCTTGAGAAGAAGCTGAAGGACAGAACTTGTGGGGAAGGAGTTGGGTCCTGTGACAAAGGGTGACTTTGCGTGACCTGTATGAGCAACAAGGGGAAAAGATTAAATGAGGAAGCAGAGCAGAATCTTTCCTCAAACAACAGTTTCAAAAGGCACAGAGGAACATTTTTCAGCAGAAAACCTCTTCCTGCAGATTCCTCAGTCCCTCCTGGCTGTCACAACACTCCTGCTCCAGCTCTGGCAGGGCCAGGGCAGCTCCTGCTGCATCATTAAAGTGACTCGTGAACAACTGGGGAAAATAATTCTCTGAGCTGCTGCACTTGCAAGGATGAGAAAAAACAAATCTCCTCCCAGCTCCCCAGACTGAGCCCTCAGAAAGGCTGATAGTACAAAAAGGGTCCCCAGAGTTATTATTCCTCAGAAACTGAGAGTGCCTCCTGTACCCCACAATAAACCAGCAGCACCTCAAAACTGTGATCAGAAATCACACACAGAGCCCGGGTGTGAGGCACCACCTTACTTCCTTCCTATTTTCTGCTTTTTCAGTGTTTGTGATTCACTTGTGAGATATTATCCTCCTCCCCCTCAAAATATGTGGGAGAGGCTTTGACTGCACTTGGTTTACAAATTCCTCATCTGGGCGACTGAAGCCTGCCTTTGTGAAAAGCCAAGACAGAGGATGTGGTTTTGTGGCCAGATCAAATTTCTTGTCAGGAAAGTGTTTCTGACTCCAGGGGTGCTTTTTGTGGCAGCACTGTGCAGTGCATAAAAAATGAATTGTCACCACAGGGACACCCTGGGTTTCCTGCTCAGCTGCAGCACCAGGAGCTCCATTCCCTGCCCGGAATCTGGCAGGCTCACTTGGCATTTGCATCCACGTTTTCCTGTTTTTCAAGCTTTCAGTTTACCTTGGGAACCTACAGGACAGCCCTGTCAACTTATCAACGCTTTCAGCAAAACCTGTGGGCTGATTTCTTCACCTGCTCGTTCAAAGGCTGGTTTGGGTTTTCTTAGTTTTGAAAGGTTTTTGGGTCTTTTTACCTCCACATTTGCTGTGTGGAGGAGTCCCCAGCAGGCAGGTGGGGAGGGAGGGTCACTGTGCACAGCCTGGAGGGATTTCTCCTTGCTCTGCCACTGTGACAGCTCTTGGCACACACACAGACCAGGCAGGACTATGAGCTGATAACACCTGTCATACAAAGTGAAACAGCCTGAGTAAATCACCGGGAAACCAATCCAAAACACTGGGCTGGGTCCTTTCCCGGGAAGCTGTGACACCAAGAGGATTTCCAGCCAGAACAGCAGAATTTCATCCTTCCCCTGACAAATCCAGCTGCTCCAAAGCATTCTGAGCTGGGTGAAGAATGAATTGGCAAGAATATTGTACCAAATCCAGCACAAAAGTCAGTAAACAGCTTGGAGTGAAGTAGAGCAAGACAGGAAAGGGAGGGATCTATAACATTTCATTTCACTTTGTCTCAAAACGGACTTTTAAAGGGCTGGGAAATATTATCCGATCCCCAGATGAAACAGGATATTTTGGCTGACGGTGAATTAAATTCCCGGGGTTGTTTTGGGCTGCTTTTCCCCTCCTCTGCCAGTGCACGGGGTGGCTCAGGTTGCCAGTGCTGCTCTGAGCCTGCTCCCTCCCTCACCCACGGCACAGGTAGGGGATAATAACATTAATATTGTTATTATAATATATAATATCACCCCAGAGGAATGGCAGCTGGACACACAGAGGGGTTGGGTGCTTTGGGCACCCCACGACAGATCCCAACCCCAAATGCCAGGAAGCAGAATAGGAGATAAAACCACAAAACACTCCTGCCACCCCAGGGCAGGCTCCTGCTGAGGCAGGAGCAGGGAAAGGGTTAAATTCTCTTTCAGCCCCTGCCTCTGTCTGCCGGGAAGCAGGTGAAGGTGGCAGGGGGGATTACCTGGATCACATCCCTGGCGCTGAGCTGTCTCCCACGGCTTGCTCTGAGCACAGGTCCGGCTGCCCGCTGGAGGTGACCCAGGCGAGGATCCCTCACCTGCCGTGCCGAGGAAAGGTCCCTCAGGTGCTGGGGACACTGTCCCCGAGGGAAGGGAGGCTGTCCCCAGCTGTGGCTCGGCCGCAGGCCGTGCCTGGCACTGTGACACGCAGGGATGGCCTCTGCCTTCCCCCGCCCTGTCAATGTTTAACCTGCCCGGAGGAAGTGAGGCACGGCTGGTGACACACGGTGACAAACTTCACCTGGTGCCAGCCCAGCCTGCCGGGCTGCCCGGGGCTCGGCCTCATCCTCATCCTCGGCAGAGGAGAGGGCTCGGGGCGGCCAGGTGGGCAACCAGCAGGTGAATGAGTGCCATGGTGCCAATTCCCCCCGTTACAGTGACACAGGTGAGTGTGATGGTGCCAATTCCCCCCGTTACAGTGACACAGTGACACAGGTGAGTACCATGATACCTGGCACTGATGTCCCCTGTTGCAATGGCACAGGTGAGGACCATGATGCCAATTCTCCCTGTTACAGTGACACAGGTGAGTGTGAGGATGCCAATTTCCCCTCTTGCAATGGCACAGGTGAGTGAACAGCACCTGGCACTGATGTCCCCTGTGGTAATGGCACAGGTGAGTGGAGTGGTGCTAATTTCCCTGTTACAATGGCATAGGGGAGTGCAGGGTTTTTTTACCTATTTCCCCTGTTACAGTGACACAGGTGAGCTCCATGGTGCCAATTTCCTCTCTTAAAATGGCACAGGTGAGGGAACAGTGTCTGGCACTGATGTCCCCTGTTACAGTGACAGAGTGAGTGCCATGGTGCTTGGAACGTGTGTCCCCTGTTATAATGACACTGGTGTGTGCAGTGGTGCCAATTTCCCCATTATATAACATTTCCCCTGTGATAATGGCACAGGTGAGTGCAGGGGTTCTAATCTCCCTGTTACAGTGACACAGGTGAGTGTGGTGGTGCCTGGCACTGATGTCCCCTGTTACAGTGACACAGGTGAGTACCATGATACCTGGCACTGATGTCCCCTGTGGTAATGGCACAGGTGAGTGGAGTGGTGCCTGTTACAATGGCATAGGGGAGTGCAGGGTTTTTTTACCTATTCCCCTGTTACAGTGACACAGGTGAGCTCCATGGTGCCAATTTCTCCTCTTACAATGGCACAGGTGAGTAAACAGTGCCTGGCATTGATGTCCCCTGTTACAGTGACAGAATGAGAGCCATGATACCTGGCACTGATGTCCCCTGTTACAGTGACACAGGTGAGTGTGATGGTGCTGGACCACATCTCACTGACAAAGGCAGTGTGGCAGAGCAGAAGTGCCCGTGCCAGTGGTCACTGTCACCCACAACTGAGGTGCTGAGCTCCTCCAGCAGCCCTTGGCAGGGTGAGGGGCTGAGCCAGGGCCAGGGAGCAGCCAGGGGGTCCCAGTTTGCAGCTGGAGGAGATGGGGCAGGGCTGGAGGTAAGGCTGTGTAAGACCCCTGGTGTAAAACTTTTGCAGGTAGAACCAAGATGCCCATGCAAGGGCAGGGGCAGGGGCAGGGATGGATCAGGCTGTGGCGTCCCTGGGGAGCAACACAGAGTGACAGAATCGATTAGGTTGGAAAATACCTCTGAGAGCATCGAGTGCAACCTTTGACCAAACATCACCTCGTCAACCAGACCAGAGCACTGAGTGCCACGTCCAATCTTTCATTAAATGCCTTCAGGGACAGTAACTCCACCTCCCTGGGAGTGCTTTCCAGTGTTTAATCACCTTTTTTTTGGTGAAGAAATTCCGCCTGATGGCCCCAGGAGACTTGAGGGGGTTGTGTGTGCTCCCTGCTGCCTCCTGAGATGTTCTTACAGCCTCTGTCTTCCTCCAAGAATTGCATCCTGCATTTTATGCCATTGTTGGTCAGTGATTTGAACTGATGTGACATGTCAGGTAATTTTTACAATGAATCCATCTGCCAGGAAGCTTAAATCGTAAAAAAGGGATGTAAAACTTCCCTGAACTGTATTTCCTACTAAGCACAATGACAGTAGCAAAGAGAAATTAATGCCACAGTGACTCAAAATGGAAAGATTTGGTTCAGTAAAGGGAAATGAATCATTCAGTTTGGGGAATCGTGAGAAATTTCTGAAAATAAATTTCAAAACCTTTGCTTTATTAGAAAAAAATCACTCTGAGTTGTTAAAAGGAATAGCCATGAAAACTGCAGGAATAGGGGTTTTTTGACCAGTTATAATTTTTTTGTTACTATTTCCTTGACTTTACAAACACCTTCTTTTTTAAAGTCTAAAATCTCACACTCTTGTTCCACTGACTTAAATAAAAATATCCTTAAAATGACTTCCATACAGGTGTGTCTGAATAAATCTAGAGCAAGAAAAGGGAGGATAGATAACATCTAATGAGCACATTCCATCTCTGGTTGCCCAAGCAGGAGAAGTGCAGAAGGTTAAAATTAATTTTTAGCTTGAATTAATCAAGATAACACTTGATAAAAACGCTTTGGAAAGGATAATTGCTGCTTTTAAAACTTTTACAAAGCTATCATTTGGCACTGCTGAGAAGAGATTGGCTCTGTCATCTCTCTAATTGCTCTTCAGGTAGGCTTAAGCTGCTCTGAGGTTCATGCCCATCCCCTCAGTGTAGAGAGGACAAAATCAGCTGTGTTAGAAAAGACCAGCATGTGCATTGACATTTTATTAATTATTAATTACTGCCCTTGTCAGCTCCTTCCTTCCTCTGGCTTTCCTGATGAGCCTTGGTGTTGGGATGAGTAAAACCCTGGGCTGGGATGGAGTGGGATAAGATGTGGTGCAGTGTCTGAGTCCCCAGTGTGCAGGCACAAGGTCACCCATGCTCATGATGCTCAAAAGACCTGATTGAGATGGAAAAGCATCTTGGTCACTTTGGGAATCACCAGGCAGAGTCCTACCTCCCACTCCCCTTCCCCTAGACACTTCTTTCCAATTTTTCCTTTTTCTTCTGCTGGTGAGTAGGAGGATTCTCACCCTTTTTTTTTCCCACCCCCCTCCCCAACCCTTCCAAACCCATTTCTGGATGGTGTGTACACTGTGAACTCCTAAGCTACCCCCTCACATTTTTTGTTCTGGGGTGTTTGAGGCTGGAACATATTTCTGCACAGCTTGCTGTGCAATCCCACGCCAGGAGCTCCCAGGGACTTCCTGGGATTCACTCCCTGAAACCTTCTGTCCCTGCCATTGGGGCCACCAGTGCAATTTCTGTCTTCCCTGCAGGAGAATGGGACAAATTGTCATGATGGAAATGGCTTCAAACTGATAGTTGGTTTGGATGGGATATTAGGGAAAAATTGATCCCTGTAAGGATGGGGATGCCCTGTGTGATAAATGTGATTGGTGCTAACTAAATTGTAACTATATTAGCAAAATTGTACTCAAATCAATAGAAAATAATTGTTACAAAGCAAAAAGGAAATGAGTGAGACAAAGCAGATGGAATCCTCCAGATGTTGATGGGAGTAGTAGAAGGATGTAGGT